ATCTAATTTAGTGCCAGTATCAGCTTTTTTCTACTCTAGTAGTTTCCATGTTGTGCCTTGTAACAGTTTCCTATTACAAGGCATGTCCTCTCTTTAGCTCAGTGTTAGCCTACAAGTGTTCATGAGAGTTGCTGCTTTAAGCACAACCACTGTTTCAAAGTTGTGAACTTGTGTGGGTGGTATAGTAAATCACTTCATTTGGTGTGACTTAAGTAACAGTGATACGGGCTAATTACTCAGTTAGGGTTGGCTTTTATAAAGCACACCTGAGCAGACCTCAGGTGTGAAACTGGATTAAACTTAAAATTAAATGGTCACAATGCTAATGTGATGAAAATGCTATTGCTTGGTGTCTTAAGTTCCTTTTTTAAGAGCAGTTGTTCTGTAGCTAACTTGAAGGTAGGCGAGCTTTCTGTTCTGGGATTTCCTGAGTTCTCAGGCTTTCTTGGTGTTTTCTCCTTAGCTTGTGCGGGTTCTCGTGTCTCCCACGAATCCTCCTGGCGCCACGAGCAGCTGTCAGAAGGCCATGTTTCACTGTGGCTTGTTACAGCAGCTCTGCACAATCCTGATGGCAACTGGGGTTCCAGCTGACATCCTGACAGAAGTAAGAGGGGCAGCAAGTAAAGTAGGGATGGGGGCAACTAAATGGAGCAATAACAAGAGGCTTTGGGGTAGCCAGTTCTTGCAGGGACAAACTGAAATTATACGATTTGCCGAGAGTATATCTTAGGTGCCAGACATGTCAGCTTCCTCCTGTGCAGGGAATACATAGTGATGATAGTACTTGGCATTATATTTTGAGCAACTGTAGTATAATTCACTTCACTATCAGGAAGTATCTGGATTTGCTTGTAGAGTTTTTAATTTAACCTTTCTTCAGCAGGCTTCATATTATGGCTGTTGCTTTGTTTAACTTCTGAAATTGTTTTCTTATATCAAGACTTAAGTACAGAGATTTAGATATATTTTTCAATACTGAGCTGTCAGACTGGATAATCGAGTGTTGCATGAATTCGGTTGTCACTCACACTTAACTAACCATTTTATTGTTCTTTTCTCCCTGCCATTTCTGTAGACCATTAATACAGTGTCAGAGGTCATTCGAGGATGCCAGATAAATCAAGACTACTTTGCCTCTGTAAATGCACCTTCTAATCCACCAAGGTAGAGGAAGAAAAGTGTTTAACTTTGTTTAGGTAATGATGTATTGGTATGGGCAATTGCAGTCTAACCCAAAGGATTATTAAATTTTGAAGTTTGGAGTTCCAGTACATAGAAACAGCTTTGAGTTCACCCTGGTGAACTTCACTCAGCTTTGAGTTCCCACATATTAGGTGTCAGGTCTCTTTCCAGAGAGATAAGGGCTAGAACTGTTCTCATTTAATGTTAGGTGGTATCTGTAAAATAATTTAGTAGTTAGAAATAGCCATGTTAAGCAGAGATGTTGCTGCCAGGTGACTGCAAAAAAAAAAAAAAACAGAGGCCAAGAAAATAGCCAGGCAATTTGTTAACTCGGATTGGGCAGTGCCAAGGTGATACATATTTATCTCAATTTCAGTGTGACTAGAGTAGAAAACAACATTGTGCTGTAGGTTACCGGTGACATTATGAGGAGTCCTCTGGGGTGCTCCTGTAGCAAGCTGGGAGAAGCAATGGGACTCGGTGTGAAATGAAAACATGGCTAATGAATGCTTGCTCATGGCAGTGAAATGCAACATATCAGCTGTTTTTTGTGTTAAGGGGACAACTTCCATTTAAAAACAAAGCCAAATTTAAATGTTGGAAATGGCAGTAGATAGTGAAGGCAAAAAGCTTCCTTGCACGGATGTGTTTCCATTGGTTGACTGTTTCCATGTTGGCTGTGATCATGTCCCAGTGCTGTGTGTCTTTGGTGGGTCACGCAGGTGTCAGCGCAGCAGATCCTGTCACTCCTACCCTGTACCTGTTGCCCAGACACCTGCAGCTGTGCAACTTTGTGCTAATGTTTTTTCTCTTTCCTTGCCAAACAGACCTGCAATTGTAGTTCTTCTGATGTCCATGGTAAATGAAAGGCAGCCTTTTGTGCTGCGCTGCGCTGTTCTCTACTGTTTCCAGTGCTTTTTATACAAAAACCAAAAAGGACAAGGAGAAATAGTTTCTACGCTTCTGCCATCCACTATTGACGGTATGCAAGAACAACCTCTTTCTAGAAAGTGCTTCTCGTGTATTATTTCAAGTTATCTGAGAAACCGTTTATCTGTATGTGGGTGCCAAGCAAGAATTGGGTTATGGTTTCTCTAAATTTGACACATGACCCTCAATTTTTTTTCTGGGTTTCCACGGAACGCTTACGTTTTGCATATTTTACAGTCTTTTGTCGTGGTCTAACTTGTCCCTTTTGGCCATTCTGGCAGCTACAGGTAACTCTGTCTCAGCTGGCCAGCTGCTCTGCGGCGGCCTCTTCTCAACGGACTCCCTGTCCAACTGGTGTGCGGCGGTGGCGCTGGCGCACGCGTTGCAGGAAAACGCCACCCTGAAGGAGCAGCTGCTGCGCGTGCAGCTGGCGACGAGCATCGGCAACCCGCCCGTGTCCCTGCTGCAGCAGTGCACCAACATCCTCTCGCAGGTACGCGCGGGCTCCGGCGCGGCCGGGAGCGGGCGCTTGGCA